CACTCTGCCTTGCCGACTCTGTCACACCGATCGGGCGTTTAGGAAGGGGTCGCATTACCCACACTTTACCCCACCACACGTCTGACTGTGGTGAACCCCGTTCTAAACATGCCGGTGGACAAAGGGACCGGGGATTTGAGAAGCCCACACCACCGTCTCATTGCCACTGCCACGCCGAGAAGTTGAATCGAGCCGGCGACCTCCGGATCGCAAGTCGGCGGCGCTGCGTCGGACGGGAATAGCGGACGCCGACTGTGTTTGAGAGGCAGCCTTGCCTCTTGAGCAGCCACGTCCCCGTCCCTCCGGCCACCGTTTTCCCGGTTGTTGCATCCTCAAGTTGGTTGGTAGCAACAGCTCCCCGGGGTCTCGAGACGATCGCCAACGTCGCACAGAGGGGACCGCCGCCGCCGCCGCCGAGGAGAGCGGCGCGAGGATCGAGGCGTGCCGGGGCGGCGCCCGCGAGCACTCCCCCTCGACGAAAACCAACAAACAAACACGATGACAACAAACAAACAAACACGATGACGCTTCTACCGCTGCGCGAGCCCCAAGTTCGGTGGAGCTCTCCGGAACGCACCGCAGTGGCACGGAGTGCAGTGGGGTGTTATTGTTGTTGATGTTTTTTTATTGTTGTTTTAATTGTTGTTGTTTTATTGTTGTTTTTATTGTTTTTATTGTTGTTGTTGTTATTTTTATTGTTGTTGATGTTTTTTGTAACCCTGGAGATCAAAAAGAGACCACAATCGCAAACGGCAGCTCGACAGGATTTCCAGATTGAAAAAAAAAATATCACGATGACAAGACAAAGATCCCCCGTGTAGCCTCAACAGACTGTAGGGGCAAGTGCTGTTAGCGAGCACCTATGAAGGCCGGCACGGCGCACGAGGGGGTGGGTGGCCAGCACCACGCCCGGCCGCCTTTGTTTGCCTTGCGGCGATATTTACACAACGCACCAGGTACTCGTTTGAGGCTGAGTCGACCTAGATCGTCCCAAATTTTGGATCCAAGCCTGATTTGCGGATTTTGAAGATTAAAGCGAAAAATCGGGAGCACATCAGTCCGTAACTCACACGTTAATAGCGAGTACATATTTTACTTTCAAAGAATGTATTCATCGTTGGGTATCTTCAACACCAAAGTTGACAAACGTAAAAAAAAATCTTGAATAAGGCTTCTCAACCGAGCCATGCAATCTTCTCCCGCTATTTATCAAAATGTATTTGTATATTACACAATATTCAATTGCTCCGAGCCTGAATTGAAAATATTCACTGATGTAGCGACAACATTAACAAAAGTGCGTGTGTGTGTGTGTGTGAGTATGCCCATGCCCAGCCACCGCATGCCTAAACAGCTTTTGTTCGGCCTGGATCGAGGGGGCTAAACGGGCGCGGCACGGGCTAGAGAAGAGATGGAGTGATGTGGTACAGGAGGACGTGGAGCTGAGTGGACTTGCCGATGACTGGTACCAGCGGTGTCAAGATCGGCCTCAGTGGAGGAGGCTCGTGAAGGACGCTACTGGGCAGTTGGAGGCAGTCGCCCTCCAACAACAACGGAGGGCGGAGGAGCGACGCTCACAACAACGAACGGAGCGCCGGGTGGATAAAGCACAGCAAGTTGGTACAGTAGGGGGCACAGGTGGTGCATCAGCCAGTCATCTCGGTCATCTCGGTCAGTCGACCCGTGGCACCTGCTGGGTCTGCCCCGTGACCTCCTGCCAGCGGGCGTTCGACACTTCACGTGGCCTCAAGGTGCACATGGCCTGGCACAAGCGTCGTGGTGACGTCACCGCCACTTAGTGGCGAATGGCGGTTGTTGTTGTGTGAGTATGTGTGTGTGTATGTGTGTATGTGTGTGTGCGACGTGTGTTTAAGTGGGGAGCGGTAAGGGTAACGGTTAGCACTCCGCTGCGCTACGAACCCGGACACCCGAGTTCGAATCCCACTTACGGCCAACACCAGTGACGATTATCTGAACCGGTCCTGGGCTTCACCTAGGTCGTCTCAGCCTAAAATGAGTACCTGGTGCGGTGTGTAAACATCACCACTGGGGAGACAAAGGCGGCCGGGCGTGGTGTTGCCCACCCACCCCCTCGTGCCGTGCTGGTCTTCATAGGTGCTAGCTAACAGCACTTGCCCCTACAGTCTGTTAAGGCTACACGGGGTGGAGGGGGATCTTTGTCTTGTTTGTGTTTACGTGCAAGGGATGTTGCCACCCGCGGTGCGATCCGGACGCTGCTGGAGCGAGCCCCATCTCCCAGCGTCAGCAGTCGAAACAAAATAAACACGACAAGTTTCTCAAAGTCCCCGCAGCTCTGTCGACCCACCTGTGCGCGCGCACACCACCGTCAGTCGGTCGTCGGCTCGCGCGCGGTGGGGTAAGTGGTGGGTTACGCACACCTCTTCCAAATTCGTCACGCCACCGTGGAAGAGTAGACCAAAATACCCTCTAAGAGAGAGAGACGGAGGGTGGGGTGTCTCTAGAGCTCTCTCTCGAGGGAGGCCCTTCCGCGCAGAGCGACCGCCAGGGCCGCGCCTCGTGTCCCTGCTCCCTCCCCGTGTGTGTGGGGGGGGGGGGCGCTGAGCCCTGCTTGTTTTAGCGAGATTGCGTAATCTGGCCTGGATCAATGCTATCTCCACACAAATAAGCAAGGAGATGGATGAGTGCTGTTTTGTTGTTGTTGTTGTTGTCGGTAAAACAGCAGGGCCTGTTGGCAGGGTGGTGGCCGAGTGGGCCAGTGTCACGGTGACGGGATGTTGACTACCTCGCCTGGTATACAGGAGGTCGCGGGCTCGATACCGACCCTGATGCCTGCTGCTGTATATTTGTAGTTTGCGTGTCTCTCTCTCCCAATGGTCGCGTGGATTTTTCTCTGAGCCCTCTGGGTTCTTCCCTCCACATAGAGAATCGACGAAAATTTAGAGTCTTTGGCCGCTATAAATGTCCACGTGATGAGCCACTTCTTTGACCTATCATTTGTTGATGGCCTGGCCGCTTCTAAAATATAACTATATAGCTCAGTGGAGCCTTACCTGGCCAAAATAAACAAATAAATAAATAAAGTCGAATAGTTTAGTGTCCACGTCGCAGACAAGGCTTCGGGTTGTTCCGCGAGACAGCGCCGGCTCTGTGCTGCGGCGAACAAGACGCGTTTGTGCGCCAGCTGCTCAGTCAATGGGAATTCTGTGCGCGCTTCAGATGCTGCTCGTTACCAATTAGTCGCGCACCTCTCCCAATTACAAATTCAACATCAGCGCTCTGCGATCCCAGCGGCTCTGGATCCCCGTGCGCGCGCGCGCGGTCGTGTGATCGGTGCTCGTGGCAACTCCGTGCCGATGGTCGAGTTGGCAGAGTTTGACTGAGCGAGACATCCGATAGGCCCCCGGCCTCATTCATTGCTCGTTTCCCCGCAGAGAAAGTGTTTCTCGAGGCTGGGGGTCACGTGACGTCGCGTTGCGTGATCAAGAAAGTCTCCCACTGCATCACGCGCACTGCAAAATCTTGCACACGTTATACGGCCGACGGCAATGCAGCAACCACGAGTAAGAGAGTATGAGATGCAATCGACTATTGTCCCTGGATGTGCTGTGTGGATTTGGAAGAGCAGCTACAGAAAATCCACGTATAAAAGCCGGCACAAGTATAAAAGGTTCATAATCAGCGCATGACCTGCTCTGACACGTGGATCAGACGCAGGGGCATTGACAGATAAACTGAGACAAAAGATGGAACGTGCGCAGAGAATCACGGAGAGCTGCGTGCTCGGAATTACTCTGAGAGACAGAAGGAGGAAACACACAGATCAGAGAATACATCACATACATATTGATTGTTATGGAAAGTTAGAGACAACATATTGATTGTTCGATTTAAAGCGTTCGTGACTACAGGGATTAATATTCTTGGTTTTTTCGGTAAAGTCACGTAGAAGGGAAATAGCAACTTAATTAATGAATTATTTTTCTTGCTGTGGTTTTCACACCTGATGATGATTGCTTGTGTTGCTATTGAAACGTCGTGAGAATTGTATTGTTTTATTTGTATTATTTTAACATATTGATTGTTATGGAAAGCGACCACGGCTCATGATAATGATGCTGCTAGCGATGATGATGATGTTGTGGAAACAACAGTGCTCAACCTATGAATAGAGTGACCCTGTCACAAGAATGTGGAATTTCCCTACGCTGGAATGCCCAGGTGGGTTTGAGAGGAAGGAGTGTCGCTGTGACGTGACGGCGAGTGCGTGACGGCGAGTGCGGGGCTGCGAGTGCGGGGCTGCGAGTGCGGGGCTGTGGGTCTCGCCGGACACTCGCTCCACCGTGGCTGGGCTCGACTAGTGGCGAGGGAGCGAGGCTGAGAGGGAGATTCGTGACGACGACGACGCCTTTACCTCGTTCGCCTCCTCCACTTCAGGGGGGGTCCGGTCACCGACTGCCCTTTGCTCCTAAAACAAAATCCACCCGGCGGCCCCACAGCGCCGTACCCGCGACGCACGCACTGCAGCAACGCGACGCACGCACTGCAGCCGGCATGCCACTTTCACGCACCGACATTTAGACAAAAGAAAGAAGGGGCAGGCATTGCACTCGGATCAAAAGCACGGCCGAGGAATGGCTCTCGGCGTCGGCTGACATGGCACCACGAGCGTGCCGCGACGACGCCGCAACGCCGAGAGGTCCGAGGCAGCTTTCGACTCTCGTGTTGATTTACTCGCGGCTTGCCTCGGATTAGACGCCAGGGATTTGACGCGTCGCTGCGACACCACGGAGGGTCATCTGCTGCAGACACCGCTACCTGTCACGGTGCCACCGCTCTTATCGCGGTGGGGGGGGGGGGGCTAACCGACGGTGCGCAGGGAGCCGGCGACGCGCCGCTGCGCGCTCCACCATCCACAATCATCGTCATTTGCATTAATCCCTAATTGGTGCGCGCCGTTCACTCGTGAAATGCGATGATCGCTACGCGTGAACCCGCGCGTAGTGGTGCGAACTGGCGCCATGCACTACCGCGCGGCGAGACGGAGAGGCAGCGTCCCCCCTGTGAGCGAGCACCCCCAGCGACCCCCTGTGAGCCAGCACCCCCAGGGACCCCTGTGAGCGAGCACCCCCAGGGACCCCCCGGTGAGCGAGCACCCCCAGGGACCCCCTGTGAGCGAGCACCCCCAGCGACCCCCAGTGAGCGAGCACCCCCAGGGACCCCCCGGTGAGCGAGCACCCCCAGCGAACCCCCCGGTGAGCGAGCACCCCCAGGGACCCCTAGTGAGCGAGCACCCCCAGGGACCCCCTGTGAGCGAGCACCCCCAGGGACCCCCCGATGAGCGAGCACCCCCAGGGACCCCCTGTGAGCGAGCACCCCCAGGGACCCCCTGTGAGCGAGCACCCCCAGGGACCCCCTGTGAGCGAGCACCCCCAGGGACCCCCCGGTGAGCAAGCACCCCCAGGGACCCCCTGTGAGCGAGCACCCCCAGGGACCCCCTGTGAGCGAGCACCCCCAGGGACCCCCTGTGAGCGAGCACCCCCAGCGACCCCCAGTGAGCGAGCACCCCCAGGGACCCCCCGGTGAGCGAGCACCCCCAGCGACCCCCAGTGAGTGAGCACCCCCAGGGACCCCCCGGTGAGCGAGCACCCCCAGCGACCCCCAGTGAGTGAGCACCCCCAGGGACCCCCCGGTGAGCGAGCACCCCCAGGGACCCCCCGGTGAGCGAGCACCCCCAGCGTCGTCTCCTGTGAGCGAGCACCCCCAGGGACCCCCTGTGAGCGAGCACCCCCAGCGACCCCCTGTGAGCGTGAGCGAGCACCCCCAGGGACCCCTGTGAGCGAGCACCCCCAGGGACCCCCTGTGAGCGAGCACCCCCAGCGACCCCCTGTGAGCGAGCACCCCCAGCGACCGCCTGTGAGCGAGCACCCCCAGCGACCCCCTGTGAGCGAGCACCCCCAGGGACCCCCCGGTGAGCGAGCACCCCCAGGGACCCCCTGTGAGCGAGCACCCCCAGCGACCCCCTGTGAGCGAGCACCCCCAGCGACCCCCTGTGAGCGAGCACCCCCAGGGACCCCCAGTGAGCGAGCACCCCCAGGGACCCCCTGTGAGCGAGCACCCCCAGCGACCCCCTGTGAGCGAGCACCCCCAGCGACCCCCTGTGAGCGAGCACCCCCAGGGACCCCCTGTGAGCGAGCACCCCCAGCGACCCCCTGTGAGCGAGCACCCCCAGGGATCCCCAGTGAGCGAGCACCCCCAGGGACCCCCTGTGAGCGAGCACCCCCAGCGACCCCCTGTGAGCGAGCACCCCCAGGGATCCCCAGTGAGCGAGCACCCCCAGCGACCCCCTGTGAGCGAGCACCCCCAGCGACCCCCTGTGAGCGAGCACCCCCAGGGATCCCCAGTGAGCGAGCACCCCCAGGGACCCCCAGTGAGCGAGCACCCCCAGGGACCCCCAGTGAGCGAGCACCCCCAGCGTCGTCTCCTGTGAGCACGGCGAGTCGGGTGCCGAGCACAGGGCCTGCGGGATCGAGGCCGTCGTGAAGACGGCTCCAGTCGCGTCCCAACCATACACGAGCGTGCCGCCTTCTCACCTCGTGGAGATGCTTTACATCGCGCTCGATTCCAAGGTGCTTGACAGCAGTTACAAAATTGCACTTGAGATGATGTTAAAGGTGATGCAGTCATGGTGATAGGAGCACAGGTGGAAGAGCTGAAGAAAGAGGTTTATTTTGTGTTGGAGAGCTGGCTGTCGCCTGATGAAGCTAGTTGTAATTACTGGCGAAACGTCGTACTCTGATTGTAAATGTTGTGGCTTGGCTCTACAACACACACCGGTGTGCTGTACTAGTATACTACACTATACACTACACACTACACTACTATATACTACACTATACACTACACTATACACTATACACTACACTACACACTACACTACTATATACTAAACTATACACTACACTACACACTAGTGCTGTACTCGTGACGAATTGTCCACGTGCTGTTGACGTGACAACCCTTACTAGTTGGCTGTGTCGGGTGGTGGCGGGTTTTAAAGACACATTTATATATTTACACGATCTAACCCCCCAAAAAACCTTTATTATGGATGATATTGGTCGCGAAAGCCTGCTACGTGTTAAACAGCTTGAGAAAGGATTGGGGCTTAGATAGTGATAGGGGATGGGGAAGTTATTGAGATCAGGGTAGTTATATGGTAGGGGTAGTGATAGGGGTTGGGGTAGTGATAGAAGTAGTGATAGGGATTGGGGTAGTGATAGGAGTTGGGGTAGTGATTGGGGTAGTGATAGAGGTTGGGGTAGTGATTGGGGTAGTGCTAGGGGTAGTGGTTGGGGTAGTGGTTGGGGTAGTGATTGGGGTAGTGATATGGGTAGTGATAGGGGTAGTGCTAGGGGTAGTGATTGGGGTAGTGATAGGGGTTGGGGTAATGATAGCGGTCGGGGTAATGCTAGGGGTAGTGATAGTGATTGGGGTAGCGATTGGGGTTGGGGTAGTGCTAGGGGTAGTGGCTGGGGTAGTGATAGGGGTTGGGGTAGTGATTGGGGTAGTGCTAGGGGTAGTGATTGGGGTAGTGATTAGGGTAGTGCTAGGGGTAGTGATAGGGGTTGGGATAGTGATTGGGGTTGGGGTAGTGCTAGGGGTAGTGGTTGGGGTATTGATTGGGGTAGTGATTAGGGTAGTGCTAGGGGTAGTGCTAGGGGTAGTGATAGGGGTTGGGGTAGTGATTGGGGTTAGGGTAGTGCTAGGGGTAGTGGTTGGGGTAGTGATTGGGGTAGTGATTAGGGTAGTGCTAGGGGTAGTGCTAGGGCTAGTGATAGGGGTTGGGGTAGTGATTGGGGTTAGGGTAGTGCTAGGAGTAGTGGTTGGGGTAGTGATTGGGGTAGTGATTAGGGTAGTGCTAGGGGTAGTGCTAGGGGTAGTGATTGGGGTAGTGATTGGGGTAGTGATAGGGGTAGTGCTAGGGGTAGTGAAAGGGGTTGGGGTAGTGATTGGGGTAGTGATTGGAGTAGTGATTGGGGTAGTGATAGGGGTAGTGATTGGGGTAGTAATAGGGGTAGTGCTAGGGGTAATGAAAGGGGTTGGGGTAGTGATTGAGGTAGGGGTAATGATTGGGGTAGTGAAAGGGGTAGTGCTTGGGGTAGTGATAGGGGTAGTGATTGGGGTAGGTGTAGTGATAGGTGTAGTGATAGGGGTAGTGATTGGGGTAGGGGTAGTGTTTGGGGTAGTGATTGGGGTAATGATTGGGGTAGTGACTGGGGTAGTGATTGGGGTAGGTGTAGTGATAGGTGTAGTGATAGGTGTAGTGATAGGGGTAGTGATTGGGGTAGGGGTAGTGATTCGGGTAGTGATTGGGGTAATGATAGGGGTAGTGATTGGGGTAGTGATTGGGGTAGTGATAGGGGTAGTGATTGGGGTAGTGATTGGGGTAGTGATAGGGGTAGTGATTGAGGTAGTGATTGGGATAGTGATTGGGGTAGTGATTGGGGTAGTGATAGGGGTAGTGATTGGGGTAGTGATAGGGGTAGTGATTGGGGTAGTGATAGGGGTAGTGATTGGGGTAGTGATAGGGATAGTGATTGGGGTAGGTGTAGTGATAGGGGTAGTGATTGGGGTAGTGATTGGGGTAGGGGTAGTGATTGGGGTAGTGATTGCGGTAGTGATTGGGGTAGTGATTGCGGTAGTGATTGGGGTAGTGATAGGGGTCGTTATAGGGATAGTGCTAGGGGTAGTGATTGGGGCAGGCGTAGTGATAGGGGTAGTGATTGGGGTAGGGGTAGTGATTGGGGTAGTGATTGGGGAAGGCCTGGTGGTAGCTGTATGGCGGTGGCCTTCCATGCAAGGTGATTCACAGTCCTCGCTCAATCTACCGCTCGATGAAGGCCCGCCTCACTGTGTCGCTCGTGGAGGAGTGTTGTACTGTACTGACTCGTGAGGCGTGGTGAAGGGGCATGCGGAGAAAGGCAGGACCAGGAATCCAACTCAGGTTACCGGGTTCACAGCGGAGTTCCCTAATCACTGCACCACCACTCATGCAAGGCAAGTCTTGGGAATGTCAAGAAATGTCAGCGAATGTCAGGCTTAAATCGCGATGGCGAGTGGGCAAGTAATTACACTTATCGCGAGGCATCATTGATTAAAATTAACTCTCACGCTCAGGATACACGAATCGGATTTTGCGTGAACGCATCGACTATTAACATCGTGCGCTGGGTCCACAAGTCTCTTGCGTTCAAAGCTCTTGTTTTTTCAGCACTGAAAGCAAAGGAAAAGCGCTGGAATGTTGGTCCCCCAAGTGAGAACCAGCTGCCCTCTGCCACTTGAACTGGGTTCAAAGGGCAGGGGTCAACACTCCTGAGACATTGGCACACGGCCTCTTGTAGCGGAGGTCACTGGTGGAGAGGAGTGGGCAAGCCAGACAGAGGCCAGGGGATTGTTCCATGGTGCGGATCAGGTTTTGCTTACGGGTGAAATTTACCCCATGTTGTACCACACAATAGAACTGTTATTCGCCAAACTAACTATATATTTTAATTTTACCAGGTAAGGTCCACTGAGCTGTACGGCTTCTTTATCAGAAGCGACCTGGCCACAAATGATAGTTAAACAAAGTGGCTTATCATCGTTCATAAATGTTTTTCCGCATTCACAAGACAGAAAATATTACCTGCAAATTGAGATGGAACGTATGAACATCGCCGCCCTACTGTGGACACTTTACAGGACCCTCTAGAAAAAAGAGTCTTGAGATTAAGTGGGACTTTCTGGGGTAAACAAGACTCGTCATAATACTAATTAGAATAAATAACGGGAGCATTGTTTCGATTTAAAGCTTTCGTGACTGCAGGGATTCATCTTCTTGGTTCTTTCGGTAAAGTCACGTAGAATGGAAATAATAAAATAATAAAATATATTATCTTATTATGTTTCATTTTATTATTTTATTATTTCCATTCTACGTGACTTTACCGAAAGAACCAAGAAGAAGGGGATCATTGTTTTTAACAGTCTCACTTTTAAATCCTATAAATATCACAACTGTCGTCCTCTGGCCAAACGCTCTCGGGGCACGATTGGCACCGGCGAGAGGTCTCGACACCACCGCGGCTCCCGCCACGTGGACAGCTCCCGGCACGCAACGAGGTGCCGGCTGGACCCCGCCAGGCACAAAGCGGCGAGCGAGCGAGCGTGCGCTCAAACGATCGCGCGCACGGTTGCAGCTCCTCGCGATACGAACATTCTAACTTGCACGGCTTCTGCAAGTGTTTGCAGACTCTTACCTAGCGCCTTTTGACGCCTCCAAGGCACTTATAGCGTGCAGGAAGAGTGTAATAGGTAAAGGTGCGGCCCTGAAATTTCCTTCTCGCGTCACTGCCGGCGGAAGGGTGTCCCCTAGCAGGAGATCTATGGAGCCCCTCTAGACGCTGGCGGACACGTCTCGGAAGCGGTGGAATACCCCCAGTTCACCCCATCACACTCGACCTGCTGCTGACTCGCTGTGGTGTTCCGGCAACCTCTGGGTTGCAAGTTCAGTGTGCTAACCATTGTGCCGTGTGGCAGCATCTCAGAGGATTAGGGCTTCCCGTTCACATTGTATGCATGCTGTGTCCACATTAAGAGTAATAAGCATTCTTCCGGCTACAGATAAAATAACGCTGTGGTCACACTGCAGATGAGCCTCATACATCATATCCGAATTGCAGCGAGTTTCCCATTAATCTTGCCGTCGTCAATTCATTTCCGTAACGCACAGCTAATTGAGAACGGTAGAACGCCCGTGCCGTCGTTATCAATTCACCACACTAAAAACAAACCTCGGCTATTGATTTTGTGACTCGTGTTATATCACGACGTTGTTTGCACGCGGCCGCAACTACCGCATCATGAAATGCCTCCCATCGCACGGCGCAAATTCCTCGGTGCGTCAACATTCGAGCGCGGTTTCATTTCAATTGACCTCCGCCGCTGCGCTGGTGAATCTGGCCCAGGGAAGCCTCTGGTCCTGCAGTATCTGCGGCAGGAGCGCGGAAAATGCCAAGGGTTGCTATTTGTGATGGCAAGGCTCGTGGAAATTATTACAGTGGAAAAAAATAGGCCACAAAAAAGCTAAATATAGTCGCGGCCACAACTGTCGTGAAATGTTTCAAGCTGTTTATATTTTGAGAAAGTCGCGTTGAATTCGAGCGCATTAATAATTATGTAAATATATATATACCTCGCAATTCTCATTGTTATGGTTGTCTGTCTCTTGTTTATAGTGACAGTGGCTATTTTGTACAGCATCTTGCGATGCAGTAAGCTTTCATATGCACTCATGATCCAACATTTGACCTGCATTGTGTCTTAAACACACGGTGACACAACCATGAATTTGCCAGCAACCTGTGAAGCAACACAGCAGGAGTAACAAACAAGGGCAGACACACCACAAGCACACACCGCTGGGGTGCATCATCGTTCTCTCAGCGC